TGTGTGTGTGTGTGTGTGTGTGTGTGTGTTTGGCTGCCACAACAATTCAAGAAAACTGAAAAAAAAAACACTTTATAAACATTTTGCATGCAAGGCATGTCCATCATGCTCAGTGCCCTACACACATCACTTTATGCCGATGAAGGAGGATGTAAACTAACATGGCTGGCAGCTTTAAAACTCAAAAACCCACTGAAAAGAGTGTTTGCTCTTTTCATTTTATTAGCTAAAATCCCAGGGATGTTCACCCAGATCCAGAGCTCTATCTGGGCTAAGACTGACCACCAAAAGCAGCTCATCTGGACCTCTGTGAGACAGCTTCCAGCAATATCAACAAAACCCCCAAATATGTGCCTGGTGAGTGAAATTGTAAATGTGTTTGGTTCCCATTTCACTATTTAATCATGCAGTTCTTTGCTTTTACTAAATTAAAGCGGTAACTGGTGTTAACATCAGGGTTAACACTAGGCTACAGTTAGCCTAGTGTTAGCCTGGATGTTAACATGTTATTTGCAGCTAAGTCTCAAATTTAAAGAAATTTTAAGTAGCCGCATGCTGKCAAAACTAGAGTAAATTACTTTATTTAACTCAGCTCTGAGTAGGCTGAGAATCCTCTTCCCAAATACATGCTAAAATATTTTGTCTGCATCTAATGGGGACTCCTTTGTTTTGCTGGGGACTTCAATGCTCACGTGGGCAAAAACATTGAGACCTTGAGGGGTGTGGTTGGGAGGAACGTTCCCTTTGGTCCGAACCTGAGCAGTGTTTTGTTATTGGACTTCTGTGCTCATCATGAATTGTCCATAACAAACACCCTGTTCAAGCATACGGCTGTCAGTACTCTTGGCACCAGGACACCCTAGGCCGCAGTTCGATGATAGAATTTGTTGTTGTTTCATCTGATCTGTGGCCGCATGTCTTGAATACCGTACTTGTGTGAAGAGAGGGGTGGAGCTGCAACTGGAGCTGTGGCCACAAGGATGTTGGTGCCTGTTGTGGCGGCAACCCTCAAACCCGCTGGTGGACACTGACGGTAAAGGATGCTGTCAGGCTGAAGAAGGAGGCCTATCGTGTCTTTTTGGCCTGTGGGACTTAGGAAGCAGCTGATGCGGAAGTCCAAATGGATTGCAGCTTGTGTGGTCACTAACGCAAAAACTTGGGCATGGGAGGAGTTCAGAGAGGCCAAGGAAAAAGACTTCCATATGGTTTCAAGGCGATGCTGGGCCACCATACGGTGTCTCAGGGATTCACTACCAACACTGTTTATGGTGGGGATGGTGCGCTGCTTACCTTCAAGAGTCAGAAATTGTTTATTTTTCATTCAAACACACCATCAAGATGCAATGCAGAACGAAATTTGCAGTTTTGAACATCCGTCCGGAGAAACACTTACACATGACAGACACGGGGGAACGAATGTCCAGGGCCCTGCGCAACGGGGTGCGCTACCTTGCAGTTTAGAATACACACACACATAGGAAGGATGAGTTAAAAAACGTTGATCTTGTGTTTAACATACATAAGCACACGAGCATCGTACAAAAGACGACTCTGCAGATAGAGATAGGCAGATAGGCAGCTGAGCAGGGAGGGGAGGCTGGGGGGTGGGGGTTACAGGAGAACAAATATGGATGGGGAAGGGATTGTAGAGGAGCCGGTGACATCAATGGCAAAGTGCCTGGACCAATCAGAGACCTCCAGAGTCCAACCAGTTGTTATCAATCGAACACAGTTCACCAGAGTCCAGTTCTCTGTTCAGAGTTTAGCTCTGCTCCAACCCGCGTGGGCTCATCTGGGACCAGACACAGATAGGGGATGGGGAGATGGGGGGGAATCAAGGCTTCCGCCCACGCATATCACCATCCAAGGAGTACTTATCAGCCTGTAACCAAGGTCATGGGATCCAATGATGGAAAAGAAGAAATTCTTTAGAGCAACAGCAAAATACGTTCACTGCTGTTTAGAGTCTTAGCTGTGCCTCTGTGTTGTGAAGAATGCAAAATATTTCAGATTAGTTACCTTCTCGCCTCTCCCGTATGAACTTCACCCAAATGTTGCCCTCACTCCTCGCGYTGCTGAGCTGCGATCCTGGTTAGGCCCCATCAAGTTTGCAATTCCCCTCCTCCGTCATTTGAGTCTGTGTGTTCACCATACGAGAGATTCCGTCCAGGGACACAGAGAGCTTTTCACAGGACTGATCGTCGTCAGTGCCATTCTCATTTTCTGATAAACCAGAACTCCTCCACAGCCGAACAGGAGGAATTCAATTATCATAAATCCAAATATAAACACATCTTCCATGTCCTCAGTGGAGAGGGGCGCAAGGCAGATCAGATTCCAACCCCCCAGCTTGCTGAAACTCGCCCCGCAGCCACAGTTCCAGTGGGACAAGAGCTCTCCCCGCGCGCTAATTTCAAAGTGGAGAAAATGGTGTCAATTGCATTCAGAGACCAGTTGACCAGATCCATAGTTCCATTTGTTGAATGATAGGTGCAGTAGAAGAAAGGCTTGATCCAGCAACAGCAGTGAAGCGGGAAAAGGAGAGAGGTGCGGGAGAAAGAGCAGAAGCGTCTGACTCCTCCAAGAGCCAAGCAGAAAAAAAAAGTTGGGATGCTGTGGGTCAGTGGGCAGAATACTTCGAAGACTTCCTCATTTCCACAGCACGTATTCCAGTGAGGAAGCAGAATTTGGGGATCCTGCGTCGGACTCTTCAATCTATGGTGCTGAGGTCACTGAGATGGTTGGAATGCTCCTCGATGGCAAGGCAACAGGGGTGGATGAGATTTGCCCGGAGTTCCTCAAGGCTCTGGATGTTGTGTGGTTGTGTTGGTTGACACAACTCTACAATATTGCATGGACACCACTGATCTGAACAGTTGCAGCTGTAATTTCCCTCTGTGATCAAAAAAGTATTCTGATTCTGATATTAGGGGCAGTTCCTCTGGATTGACAGACCAGGATGGTGGTCTGCCCTCKATTTAAAGTGTGTGTTCCAACTATACGGGATCACACTTTTACCCCTTCCTGGAAAGGTCTATTCAGGGGTCCTGGAGAGGTAGGTCTGTTGGATAGTCGATTCTCGAATTCAGGAAGAGCAGCGTAGTTTTCATCCTAGTCGTGGAACACTGGACCAGCTCTACACTCTCAGCAGGGTCCTGAAGGGTGCATGGGAGTTCGCCCAACCAGTCTACATGTTTTGTGGACTTGGAGAAGGTGTTAGACCATGTCCCTTGGGGAGTCCTGTGGTGGGTACTCTGGGAGTGTGGGATAAATGGTAAATGGACTGTACTTATATAGCACTTTTCTATCCATCCAGGACACACAAAGCGCTTCACACTACAATCTGTGTCCTCATTTACCCATTCACACAGCACTCTATTAGGTCTCTACAAAGCTAGCATGTAACTGTGGAGACTAATCAGTGCCAGTCACATTCATACACTGATGGGACACACATTAGATGCATTAGGAGTGAAGTTTCTTGCCCAAGGACACAACAGCTGAGACAGCTGGACGGGGATCGAACCAGCGACCTTCCGGATCCAGGACGACTCCCCAACCACTCTGCCACAGCCGCCCCATGTTAGGTCCCGGTACATCCGATGTCAGAGCTTGGTCTGCATTGCCGGTAGTAAGTCGGGCTTGTTTCCAGTGAGAGTTGGACTCTGCCAAGGTTGCCCTTTGTCACAGATACTGTTCATAACTTTTATGGACATAATTTATAAGTGCAGCTAAGGTGTTGAGGGGATCAGATTTGGTGACCTCAGGATCCCATCTCTGCTTTTTGTGGATGGTGTGGTCCTATTGGCTTCATCAGATCCAACCCATTCTCACTCCCAAGTCGTCACATATTGACGCTTTGGCAAGGTTCCCTGTACGTCCGATTTTGACGCGCCGGGTACCCCCGTCACGTCACTTACTGACGAGATGGGGCGAAATCTGTTGTCATATTTTCAGAAAGAGTCGAAAATGCGCAAAAACTACCGTTTCGAAGCCTGAAATTACCTTTGTTCACTTTAGACATCCTGTCCCTGACCGTAGTACCTAAAATTAACCATTTTTAGAAAATGTAGGAAATTCACGTAAACATGTTCCAAAGCCTGAAATTACCTAATATTCACCATGGACATCCTACCCCTGATCCCAGTACCTAAACTTAAAGGTAAAGGTAAAGGTGCTTTATTTGTCATCAGTGTATGTTTCCACACAATGACGAAATTCGTGCTCTGCATTTAACCCATCCACACCCAAGTGGAGCAGCGGGCAGCCATGTGAGGCGCCCGGGGAGCAGTGAGGGTTAGGTGTCTTGCTCAAGGACACCACGACATGTGGGTATGGCGGGGAGTCGAACCTAAGACTTTCGGGTCCCAAGCCGGCTGCTCTACCATTACACCACAGCCGCCCCTAACCATTGCCCTTAACCATTAATCGTGATCCCTCATATTAACCTCAGACCCTCGACCCAAAGACCCCTGGTGGCGCAACCCGGAAAAGCCGCGGGCGTCAAGGACTGACGCGAGGGGGGTACCTGATGCGTCAAAATAAGACGCAGAGGGAACCTTACCTTAAGCGTCAATATGTGACGACTTGGGAGTGAGAATGTGTAGTCAGATCATGATCTCTAGCTCTCACTGGAGCAGTTAGCAGCCAAGTGTGAAGCAGCCACAAGGATCAGTGCCTCCAAATCCGAGATGATTGTCTTGAGCCGGAAAAGAGTAGAGTGCCTATTCCGGGTGGGTCGAAGAGGTCCTGTCCCAAGTGGTAACTGGTTACGATGCCTCCTGGATATCCCCCTGGTGAGGTGTTCTGGGCACATCCCACTGGGAGGAGAACCAGAGGAAAACCCATGACACACTGGAAAAACTATGTTTCTCAGCAGGCCTGGGAATGCCTTGGGATTCTCCCGGAGGMGCTGACCCAAGTGGCTGGGGAGAGGGAAGTCTGGGTTTTTCTACTTAGGCTGCTGCCCCCGTGACTCGATCCTGGATAAGCAGAAGAAAATGGATGGATAGATAAATGGATGGCAGGATTAAAAAATGAGAAGCTTAGCCCCCAGGGGATATAAAAGTCCCTGGTTTGTTTTAATAAAAATATGGTAACAGAGTTATTAGAGGCAGTTTATTTGTTTTAGTTTATCATTTATTTAAAATGACTGCAGCTGTATAAAACCCTCCAGTTCAACTCTAAATATTACAAGCAAATTAGCACCCAGTCGATTTTATTTTTAGAATAGGGGAGAAGAAAACGTCTAATCACAATAAAAATTAGTACAACTCTGAGGGGCTTAAGAACATTTTACCACCAGAACTGTTGCTATTTATGATTTTGCTTTTGTGTTTGTCTTCAGGAAAGAAGAGGTTGATGTCAGTAGTAACTTGCATCGGTACATAGCTTCATGTCATCTACCCAGTCTATGAACAGTGAGGGTTGATCCACTGTTAAAGAATTGTCCTTGCCGCTTTTTAAAACAACCGGACAGTAAACACACCAGTATGAACATCACTTCACATTTTTTATTCTCAGAATTACAGTTTGTTTTGCCTTGTGTTGTTGCTTGATGATGAAGCAAATTCTGCACTTCCTTTTTTTTGTCAAATCCAATTATTACTAATATATCCTTTTTGGTTTGTTTCAATTTTTTGAGCAGTTTAGATTTTTTGACAAAACTTATTTTTATGCCTACATTAATATGTCATGATGTTATGCATAGGCGCGTTTGATAAAAAAGATATGTTTTATATAGAGTTTGCCTTGCTGCTGACAGGAAGCTGTTACGTGTGTGGTTAGCTGAGAGGAACAACAGAGGGGAAGCTGTTTTGCCCTTTTTTTCATTTGTGCTGCGCACTCTCTCAGACTTAAGCTCTGARCAATCGAAAGACGAAAACGAGAGTTAAGGAAGTCTGTTTATTTTTTTGTTCTAAAAGGGAATACAGCTCCATTTAGGCTTGAGGTTCTTCAAGAAAAYTTGATGACAGAAGAAAACTCCCAACATCCCACATTTGAAAGACGAGAAGTGGATCAAGAGTTTGTCATGCTGCCAGTGTGAGATTTTTTTAGAGATTAATGTTCCCATGTGATGGCAGTTTTAGCAGGCATTAAGTCAGGAACTGGACAAGGCTCAGGTGAAAAGAGGCTGTCCTGGCCAGTTTTCCTGGTGACTTTAGCTGCTGTCACCTCCTCTTCTCTTTCTGTGTTGTCCTTGTACCAATTAATGGCTCTTAGAGCTGAAGTAGAGGTGCTCAAATCAGACATCAGTCGCAGGAGAGAAGGACAAGAGGCCAGGCAAACAGGTCAGGTAAGTAAACACTCGTCCAGAGATAATGACTGAAACAATGCAAAAGACACATGAGATATTGTACTCCCTGTTGTGTGTTTAAGGAGTGCGTCATGTCTGTGCAGACTGAAAATATCAGTAACAGGAGACGCATCCAAGAGTATCCCAGCTTTCTGCGTGGCGTCACCCAAATAAGGAAGAGGAGAACATTATCAGAGTCAGAGAGGTCAGGTAAGACCTGTGTTAACATTAGACAACTTATTTGAATACATGCAATACTAGATTGTTTCTCGTGGCCAGTTTTCTGTGGAAATGTTATGAACAATTGATATCTTACCTGCTGTAGATGCAGTAAGTTTTTGAACAGCTTTAGTTTGAAGAAACTGAGTTTAATTCTGAGTCAAACTGAGACCAAATGAATTGCCACCAACTTAACCCCAGTCCCAAAAATCTTTTAGTGAATCACGAAAACAACTGTCAGTTTCTCATTACAAAGTTATTTACAAAAAAAAAATGATATGGCTGTGTGCTATCACAAACACTACCAGCAGCAGCACCTAGCTGTAGCACTTCTGGTGCAGCCTGGACCTTTCTATTTCAACCAAAATMATGTAACACATTCTCACTCCCGACTCGTCACATATTGACACTTTTCCAAGGTTCCCTCTGCGTCTTATTTTGACGCGTCAGGTACAACCTTCGCATCAGTTTTTGAAGCACCAGGCATTTCCATGTTCCCTCAGCATCCAGGTTTGACGCGTTGGGATGCAAAACATAGTGGTCTTGGATTACTGAAATACATCAGGACATAGTGGTCTTTCACTTGGGGTCCGTGGTTAACATTAGGGATCAGGGTTAATGGTTAATTTTAGGTACTAGGGTCAGGGACAGCATGTCGAGTGAATAAAGKTAATTTTAGGCTTTGGGACGGTAGTTTTGGTGCAKTTTCTACACTTTCTGAAATWATGACARCGGATTCCRYCCCATCTCATCAACAACTGACGCGAGGGGGGTACCCSATGTGTCAAAATCAGATGCAGAGGGAACCTTGGAAAGTGTCAATGTGTGACGACTTGGGAGTGAGAATGGGTTGAATAATGTCATAATGTAAAACTGACAGTAGTGAAAAGATGATAAAACAGCTAAATTGAACCACTTTGAAGATGTTGATGTTGTAGTAGTTATTTCTCTACACTARGTTTGTTCAAAGAACTATCTACAACAGGTAAGATACTTTTTATTCATATTTTTTCTATAGAACCCCAATTCAAACATATGGTACTTAAAAACAAATGTATGTATATAATATTGTAACGTGATGATTTTTTTATTGCAGACAAAAACAGTTCAACTTTATTTGATGACTTTAATTGAACTTCAAATTTAATTTTGAAACAACAAACGAAATGATGTATTTCTTGTTATTGTATTATTTTTAATACCGTTGTTAAATTTTGAACTATGTTTAAAATGATATAAAAAGTGCAAAACACAGCATTTCTGTTGTCATCTTTTGAATGCCTGTGTTCAAATATTGACTTCTGCTATCAGTTTTAAAGACCTTTTTTTCACCCAAGGATACAAGTTATTCACAAAACAATCAATAGATGTACAGTTGCTTATCAGGAGTTTGCTTTTACAGCACTTTGAATAAGGATCATCTGGTTGTATTTTGAAGCTCTAAATGACAAACGGTTTTGTTTGTTTTACCTAAATAAAACATTATGTTTTGTATTTTCCCAGCTTCTCAGTCCTGCCTGCAGCTGTTGGCAAACAATAACAGAAAACCCTTCAGCAAAGGTGCATTGTGTCTGACTTTTCTGCAGCTTTTATTAGTTTGTATTTATATTTTTCTCTGTGCATTAGCTTTTTTTCATCTTTGAACTTTTATTAATTATACCCAGAGATGCATCATGGAAACATTTTTGCACATTAGATTTTGGTGTTTTTTCTTTTCTTTTTCTTTTCTTTTATTAGACACTTTATCTTTATTCAGATCTTCCCTCGGGTCCATACATTGGTATCCCCTGGCAGGCTGGACTGAAGAGAGGCTCTGCTCTGGAGGCAGACAGTGACCGGATTGTAGTCAGAGAGGAGGGCTTCTACTTTGTGTACAGTCAGGTGGGCTGGTTTGCTGTCATGACATCACTTTTCCACTGGGGGCTGCTGCTACTCTTTTAGCAAATGTGCAGTTCATGTCCACCTCCTCCCCACATTGTGCTGGGAAAAGGTGTGCTGAGTCTTAACATGAATTTGATTTTTGACCTTGAAGAAAGGCCGTATAAAGGACATAAAGTAAATTTAATATAGAAAATCCACTAACAACTATACTGGGACTGTGATTTTAATTGTATACAGGTTTACTACATGGACAGCACGTTTACGATGGGGCATGTGGTTATCCGATGGAAAAAATACGTTGTGGGAAATGAGGAACCGGATGTGCATTTGTTCCGCTGCATCCAGAGCATGAACCCTACATATTCTTTCAACACCTGCTACACAGGAGGTGAGCTGACATTATGAACAAGTTTCTTTTTTTATTTAATGCTGAAAAAAAATTCATTTGAATTTATTGATTTAATTTCCTCAGGGATTGTGAAGCTGGAGAAGGGAGACTTCTTGGAGCTTTTGATCCCCCGCTCTGTGGCCAACGTTTCCCTGGAAGGAGATTCCACATTTTTGGGTGCTTTCAAACTGGCTTGAAGTGTGCAATTTCACACTGGAGCAAACAAATGTTGATGCATGAAAGAAACTGTCATATTTGGAGGAGAAAGCAGTGCGGCAGTTCTTGTGGTCTTGATACAAGACCACTTGATACAAGGTCTTGATAAAATACAGGAAGCAGCTCTTTCTCATTTGGTAGAATGACAAGACTATATGTGCCTAATCTTGTGTTGCCTTCACTTGAAAGGATGTCGTAACTGTCTTTTCTTAGCTTAATAATATTAAATTGCATCACTTTTTAGGACAAAGTTCTGCTAAAATCACCTTTTTAAATTAACCTTTTTAAAATTGTATGTAACCACAAAGCAAACAAGTTCACTTTCATACAATATAAATCTACAGTATAATATAATCTGACATTTTCAGCAGCATTATCTTGTTTTTGAAATTATTATTTCTTACAGTATTTATGCAACATTATGTCTTCTTTTGAAACTTTACCTTCATATGACTGCGATTAAATTGAGATGCAATAAAATTACAGTTCCTGCACAAGAAAAATTGTGTGTGGAAAATGTTTTTCCATAATCAACCACAAAAGAAAAGATTTATTTTGCGTGTGCCAGAACAAGGGAGAAAGATCCAGATAAGGATCAGCAAGAGCCGTGAAAATCAAACTCAACCAGAGTATTTTTAGATTCAAGAAAACCTGCAGGCGGATGTTGTCAGCATTTTCACTGATCAATAACGTCGCCCGATCTGACGATACCGTGAAAAGCTGTAGCCTTTCTCAAACAAATCAAATGTATAAGAAGGCTGCAAGAATGAGGGTTCAGCTCATATGTTGTGCTTTTTGCAATTATTTTTATACACTGAAAGAAACAAAAAAAAAAAATCAGGGCAGGTGTGCTGATTTGCTAATTAGAACCAGGTGTGGCCAGAAGGCAGAAAGCAAACAGACTGCTGAAAAGAACAAGGAAATAAAACCAAGCAATCCTGTTTARTTATATTTTCATCATAATTATCTTTCCACACAAAAATACTTCCACAGGCTTCATGAGATCTAATGTCGTCTACATGACTTTTTGTGTCAGTTGATTTAAAGCAGGATTTTATGTTAGCAACCCAAGATCATCACTCATCACTTGATTGTCCAACAAATGTCTTTTGGTCTGAGTCAAATTATGTGCTGTCCTCTTCACTTCACACTTCCTCCTCTATAGCATATTTCGTGTCAGGTTCCTGGCAACTCTCCTTGTCACCAGAGTCATGATCCAAGATGTGACTGACAGCCTCAATAACCGGATATTGGTCATTGTGTTGCTACAGAATTTACTGTGAGCAAAGACCTCTGAAAAAAAAATAAAAACTTTATATGCTGTGAGAAAAGTTATCTTTATGTTTAAGTCAATGTTCTGATTGTAAGAATACAAACAGGTGTAGTTCACATGGGTATAGTAATGTGTGATATTTTCATGGGGTACAGATTCCATAGGGGAAAACTCCTGTGGGTGAAAGGTTTTGYTAGGAGGATAAAATGTCAATGGCCAAAGCAGCCTTGTGGGAGAAATATTTTGTTAAGGGGAGCATGGCTCAGATGCCTCTCAGCAGGAAGGTTCCTAGATAAAATCATGGCCCAAGGCCCTTTTTGGGTAGTCTTTGCATGTTCTCTCCATGCATGCGTGGGTTCTCAGACCAAAAACATGACTGTTAAGTTAATTGGTAACTTTAAATTGTCCCTAGGTGTGAGTGAGAGAGTGAATGGTTGTTTGTCTCATTTGTCTCTATCTTTGACCCTGTAATAGACTTGCGACCTGTCCAGGGTGTACCCCGCCCTTCACACTGTGACTGCTGGATATGGGCACCAGTGACCCCTGTGACCCTGAAAAGAAGAACCAGATAAAGATGATGGATGTTATGGAAGAAAGAAATAAAATGTGTGAGGGAAAGTTTCCTATTGGAAAAGAAAATGCTGAGATTACTATGGATGTCAAATAGGACAGATGTGTGTGTGTGTGTGTGTGTGTGTGTGTGTGTGTGTG